ATTTTCCACCAGCACTTCTGCTTGTGCCTGAGCACCGGGCATCCGCTAACGTTGTCTGCTGGCTTTAGGCTGGGCAGACACGGGAAGCACTGCCTGCAGCAGCACCGGCTGAGCTCCGTGTGCCAGAGGAAAGAACGCAGCGTCTGGAGGAGCAGGAGGAGGAGACCCCGCGTGACTCTGCGTGTTCTGCAGGGCCGTTCCTCACAGACTGCCGCTGACAGACGTTTGGGGCACTGCAGAGCCTGTTGGTGCGGACGAGGTAAAGCGGTGTTGATCTGTAATGCCATTTGATCTGTGTGCATGCAGAATTTCCCTGTGTTTGTATTTCTCAGTGTTTGTGGCCCTGGTTTTGTTCAAAGATGTCAGATCTCCGTTTACCTTTATTCCCCCTCCAGCCTTCCTCCTCAGTTACTCGCATCCTACAGCAGTGAAGGAGTTCCCTTGCTCTGTAGGAATGGTTCCTGTGCAACGGCATGGTCGTCTGCCTGTAATAAGTACTGAAGGTGATGGTTTTGTGACTGCAATTATGGAGTTGGCTTTCTAATGGCAGTAGCACCCAGTAACATGCAGCTCTTTCTGACACAGGCAGGAGATGGGCAGTGGTACTGCAGCTTCTCTGGCAGTCTTGCAGCTACGTCAGGAGGTAGAAGATGTGGATTTGAAAGAAGAACTCAGTTCCTGGGACGTTCCCCTGTTCTTCCCCTAGCTGTCCCCTTCCTCAGCCTGGATTCCCCTTGCATTCCTGCAGGTGTCTCTTCCATCCCCCTGGCTGGCCCTTGCTTTCCCCAAGGCTGCCCTTTCCCATGACACCCATAATTCCCTCAGAGCACCAGTAGCGCCCTCAATATTTCCCATCCAGGATCCCTGTAGCCACCCCACAGCCCCCCACAAAGCCCCATAGCCCCTCCAGGGCCTAGTAAAACTCCCCCATAGCTGAACCAAAACTCCACAGAACCTGATAGTCCCCAACAGCACCCCGTGTCCCCCATTGGGCTCCCTCTGAACCTCTGTATTTCCTCCCTCTTACCTCCCTTACCAGCTCCACAGCCCCCCTGGGATCTTGTTCCCCCTCCAGCTGGTTCTGAAGAGCCCTTCCATTTTTGAGAAGGCTGTGTTTAGTTCAGCATCTCCTGATGTGTCACAGAGATT